GTCATCAATACCATGACTCCACATGAGATATATTAGAGAAATATCAGCAATGTTTAGAGAAGGGGGGCGGGTGGGGGGGGCAAAACAACACTTTAGACCTACTTCATCTACACATGTCATATTTCATCAGTCTCTACATTTAACTAATTTTTAATTACTCCCCCTATTGTCTATAGGAGTACGAGGACGAGGACGAGGACGAGGACGATGCCACTGAGATGCACTGAGCATGGCATCGTCCTCAAGCACTGCTCCCCGGGCGCCGACCATGGCTGTCCACTGTTCACTTGGTGATGGGTTAAATGCAGAGGTTAAATTTCATTGTGCATGGTGTGCTGTGCTGTGCTATGTCACAAATGACAAATAAAGATAAGTTTAAGTTTAAGTTTAAGTTTATCTTTGGTAATACATATAAAAATCGAGGCACGACAGCTACTTAAATGCTCAATTGAGAGTAATATAATATAAAAATAAATAAAATAATATAATTTTAATAAATACATTTGATTTATAATGTACTGATGAGAATGTTAATCAAATAAGTTTACACATTAATTTCAGTGGAGTCTTTTGTGTCTTGTCTTTCGTCCTTTAAATCCTCATCGCAGATGGAACAATGTTAATCAACAAAATTCGAACACCTAAATTTGAACTCCAATTTGAACTGTCTACCTGTGTGGTCAAATCATTTTTGTAATTTTTATCCTTTATCGTTTCATCCAAAAACTGATCTTTTACATAGCCTAGAATTTTCTCCTCAAAACCACTCTTTTTGTCTGCTACCACCAGATGTCACTACAGTAGATCATCTGGAACTCCATCACAAACACGTACTTAAAGGTGAGTACAATTAAGTCTGAAGTTGTACCACGCATTCCACATCTTTCAGATGTACTTTTTAAGTGCTGTGTCGTACTAGTTCAGAACAAACAGAATTTGATCTAATTAAAAATGTTTTATTTGGGTTATAATATCGGATCTGGTTTGATAACACTGGTTTTCCCACCATTTAAGGCATAGCTCTGCAGTCAAACCTTATGTATATCAAAGTTGTAGTCACGGTTTATAAATTAGCTTCTTCTTATTTATTTAACATTTATTTAACAATCTCATGATCACTTGCCATTCATTTTTAGAAAGAACAAAAGTTGAAAAGAAGAGCAAATTAAATGTGTGGAAAGTGTGTGATTTAAATTATGCAATTATGCTGCCAATTATTATTAATTAAATCTGAGTTGGTTGCAACTTCTAACGTTAATGAAGACGCTAATAATCTACTAGAGAGTCTAAAACTTGAAGATGCGCCAAGTGCTCACAAGTAGTAATATCCTGCTTCGCCGACATTTGGCACAATGAATCATGGGTGAACTTTGTTCACCATCTTCGCTCAAGTTTCTACTAGTAGCGTTCTATTTCTACCTAAAGATATTCTCTGTTTACGTGGTCCGCTGACACAGCGCAACAAACTCTCGCGAAATTTGCGACAGGAATCCCAAAAATGCTATCACATGGCTATTTCCGGTTTAATGAGGAGTCTGTGACACGGGGTAGAAGTGTGAAGACAAATGGATGATAGATTGTTTTGATTTTTAAGCGGATGGTTCCTTGGTGCATGGTTAAAGAAGCTAACTGCCCCTCGCTAGCTGACCGCTGACTGAGAGTAGAACAGCTCCTGGTCACATGAAATAAATTTGACACGGAGAGAAGGAGGAGAATGGCGGAGCCGGGAGATCTACCCCTGCAGTCATCTTCAGGAGGCTTAGAAAGTTCGGGTACACCGAATTTTTTACATGAAAACGGACATGTTGGCAGTCCAGATGACACTCTGTCCCCGACCTCTGTGATTTACTTCAAAGGGGGTTTAAACACTTCCAATGTGAGGTTTGGACAGACGGGCTCGTTGTCTCCTACTACACTTCGACAATATGACTTCAATATTGAACGGTTTGGATCGAAGCGCAGAAGTAAGTACAAGTGACAAAAACACAAACTATGTGCATGCTGGCAGACTTAAAACTTGCTAATGTAGTCAGCTAACTTCAGACAGTCCCTTAACAAACGTCTTCCTTCTTCCTCGTGACTCTAGAAACTAGTATAATTTTTTTTAACAAGTTAGAGGTGACAATTGAAATTGTGACACTATATTAACTTAATATCAACCCAAGTTAGTAATTAGAGCGTTTAGTCAAAGGCGCCTATGTGTTGTTCAGACATTGGAAGTTACAACTGTTTTTACTTGAATATAAATATACCGTTCTCAGCAAGTTGGATTGTTTGTAAACACAGCTTATTACCGCGAATCTCATCCTCAAGGACTGCGGCGAGAGCAATTAAATGCTTTAGTTCAAAAATTTGTTTATTTCCATTTAATGTGAAATAAACCGAAACTACTTCCACAAGATCGAGCTGAATATTCAGCTTTCATTGGCTCACTGGATACGACAAAAGTCCCTTGTGACAAACGCGTCACAGCAATGAAATAATCTCACTGGGATAGGCTGAGGTCACGGCTTCCTTTGTGCTTTCTGCTCTGTTGTGTGTCTTCAAACAGGTCTTACACATCAGCAAAACTTTAACTATGTCATTTTTTAACACAGAACCCAAAATTACAAACCTGTAGTGAGAAACTTGCTCTATTTTATTATTTGTAATGTCTTTCCACAAACCTCCTTGTGACTTGCAAGAAAGAGAATGTAAGCACAGGGCAGTGTCACTGCAGATGACACCATTCACTCTTTTTTGGAAAAATAAAGTTTGGACACAACTGCATTGTGTTTGTTATGAACCAGGCTAGCACGCACACGATGTCATGCATGCATGTTGTTAATTCAAATGTTGTTGGTTGTTAACATTTTAAAATACCTGTTTGTTTCCAATTTATGAATATTTTTGCGTAATGCTAACTCATCAATCAACAAATACGATAATTAATGGGCATTTAATTGTTACACATGTGCAACAGCCATTAGAAATATGGCTGTTTAGTCCTCGGGTGACCTTGCACCTTGCATTTTTTAAGTCTTAGGACCTCTGTTACTCTGAGGGTGTCGTAATGGATGTGTCATTATGTTTCTTTAGCTGTAAATTGAACTGCTGCTGCTGCTGAGCATGCCGGCCATATAATCACCTAATCAATCCTGTTAAATAATTATCACAGTGTTTTAAACATTGTAATTTGTGCATTTATATCTGTTTCTTTGTGTCACTGTCAGTGTTGTTGATTATTAAACAGAGAGGGTCAGACTTTCAATTCCTGACCTGCCGGCTTCCTGACCTAAGGGTGTCTTTAGCATTGAAATATGAGTAATTAGAATAAGTAATGCCACTGGACATGCTATGATGTAATGATGTTTAAGTGATTGAATCCGTAACAAAACTATCATGTACAACATTTAGCAGCTGAATGGAACGTTCAAACCTTAGGTCAGTTATTTTCCTCTGGTTTAACCTTAACTCCAGGGTTTCTGCAGCTTCTTGCTTCTTCTTGTCCAAAACAGGTCATTCAATCTGTTCAATCCATCCATTTTCAGCCGCTTATCCGTTACCGGGTCACGGGGGCAGCAGTCACCACCCAAATCACATTGCACCGTACCAACCCCCCTAAACCTTCCTGCAGGTGGTGAGTCCACTGGAAGGTACCAACTGCCCTAACCGGGATTTGAACTTGCCCAGGAGGTGAACCACCTATGACAGAGGTATTGCCTCTGGGCCAAAGCGCCACTCAATCTGTTCAAATCTTTACTTAATATTGAGAAGCACAATTGGTCAATCATGAAATTCTCAACGGTATAAATTCTTTTTAAATGACTTGACCAAACAGTTCGGAAAATCAGGTTGTATTGTATCCACTTTAGTCTTTCAGATATTTTTTAAATAAGCTGTAAATGAGACACAGGATCGTTTTTTTAACATTTTGCATCAGAAGAAGCAGAGTGGGTGGCGCTTTGGCCCAGAGGCAATGTCTCTGTCATTGGTGTGGAACCCCAGGGTTCACCTCCTGGGCAGGTTCGAATCCCGGTTAAGGCGGTTAATACCTTCCAGTGGACTCACCACCCGCAAGAAGGTTTGGGGAGTTGGTACGGTGCAGTGTGATTTGGGTGGCGACTGCTGCCCCCGCGACCCGGCAACGGATAAGCGGATGAAAATGGATGGATGGATGGAAGCAGAGTGGTTATTTCCATCCAGGGTATTTGGCGTTGTTATTCATTTTCCTGTTGATGTTGAAGAAGACCAGAGAGATCATAATTGACTTCAGGAAGCACAGCATCGACCCAGCCCCCCTCTACATCAACAACAGGTTTCTAGGTGTCCACATCTCCGCCGACATTACCTGGTCAGAAAACGTCACCTCCATCACCAAGAAGGCTCAGCAGTGCATGCACTTCCTGAGAGTCCTCAGGAAGCACAACTTCAACACCAACCTGCTGCTGACCTTCTACCGCTCCTCCGTTGAGAGCCATACAGTTTACGCTGCTGCAGACATGGAAAGGCTGCAGAGAGTTGGTAAGACAGCACAGAGGATCATTGGCTGCCCTCTACCCTCCCTGATGGAAATTTACACCTCTTGCTGCCTCAGCAGAGCCAATACCATCATCAAAAACAGCTCACACCTTGGCTATGACCTGTTTAACCTGCTGCCCTCTAGTAGACGATACAAGGACAAATAGATTCAAGAACAGCTTCTTCCCTAAAGCTGTAACCACCCTGAACTCCCATATGCACTGACTAGACTCTCTTCAGCTACTAATGTATCACTGTTACAATAATCTGTACATTGCCCTGTCATATGTGCAATTTCAATCACATGCAATAGTCCATTCCGCTGGACAACATACGTGTGCAATATATGTCAACACTACACCTACCTCCATGAATTTTTTTTTACCTAGACTCTTTATATTTATTTTCTGTATATAATTTATCTTGCTTTCTCTTTCTCTTTTTTGCACTAAGACTGCTTCTTCCACTGCATTAGGAACGGCTACAATTTCATTGTACTGAAAGTATAATGACAAAGGCATTCTATTCTATTCTATGTTCTGCTGTGCTGCTGCAGGCAGTTCAATAATTGCATTTCCAAATAACAGGCCTCTGTTTTAGGTCAGAGGCCACTGTTGAGAAATAGATGAGTCCTCTGCTGCATCATTTGCACTGGTTGTGCACTCACGGGACTCCCATCGCACCAACCCCCTTCTTTTTTTACGCATGCACCATCTGCTCACGTGATCTGTGTGTTGCTGTACCCAGCACTGCTGTCAGCCATCTTGGTCAACACCCACCCCAGTACATTCACTGCGGTGCACAGGCAGTCCAATCAGAGCAGAGGGGTGAGAAGCTGGCCGGTGGAGGGCTGTGTGATTTCCAGCACAGTGCTCTCTTGCATTTTAAACCCCGTCTTCACAAAAGGGGCAACAAGAGTTTCAAAAGGAGGTGGAGGAGGAGAGGGAACGGCAGCCTTCCCCAAGACGGCAGCACATTTCACTCACTTGTAGGAGGGGGAAGAGAAGGATGCAGACATAAAGGCGAGGAGACGCGGCACGCTTGGGGGTTTTTTTGTGCACCTTCACTGGCCTTTGAGACAAAACTCCACTCTGTTTTTTTTCCCTCTGTGATCTTTGTTTTCTCATCAGCTGAGTCATCATGTCTGATCTGACGCCTCAGAGTGAAACCCCAACTCCCACCACCGACAAGATCACACAGGCTGCCAGGGAGACCATTTATCTCTGCAATTTTCGCGTCTCTGTCGACGGCGAGTGGCTGTGCCTTCGCGAGCTCAATGACATCTCGCTCACACCAGACCCAGAGCCGGCTCATGAAGGTAATGTGCTGGATTACCTCAGCATCCGAGGATGTTTCAGGCTGTGTCTGATCTCTCTTTGGGCGTGGTGTCACACCAAGTCTCCAGAGGCTGCTTGTTGCACACAGTCAACTGTTGGATTTGGTTTTGTCTGGGCCGTATCCTAATGGATTTCATGTGAGGTGGTTTGAGCCAGATCACACAGTAGATGGATGCTGCTGGTAAATCAGGCCAGGACGAGCAGCAGAACAACCCGGAAGTGGCAGGTGTGTTTATGAGCCTGGAGTAAATCTCATTTATGGCAGGCGGATAGATGTGATGGATAATATTTGGCAAATTTCTTTCCTACACCTTGGAAATGGTGGCGCTGTAAGAGATGTGTTTAAAAGCTGTTCATTTTTTTGGTTTCTTTTTACCTGTTCTGTTGAGCCATGATCAAGTAGCTGAGCCTAGACATTCAAATTTAACATCGAAGACATGTCTTAAATTATAATCGTTGTGTTGTTGTCTTTATCTAACACACAATAATAGTATATATATTCATCAGGGACCTGCAGTAAGATTTATCTAAATCTTACTAGATGATAATAGATTAATAGATATTGTTTATATTCTGTTTAAAAGAAGAATCCGTTTTTTTTTTTTCTTGTTGTTTTATTTCATTATTTCTCATTTGAACTCCGGTATTCAAACCTAAAATCCCTTGGTACTGAGCCACTTACCACTAGGCCCTACCCAGAGCTCTTCTACACAGATGTTGACAGTTATGTCCTGCCACACCTCATTATCCACAGGCCATTCCACATTTTCCATGAGAAGAGCCTGAAACATTGAATTATCTCAAAAAGTTTGCAAATCATACTTTTGTCATCGACTTGACCTCCTAAGAACGGTTTCTGTGATGAAGTTATAGATGAGATCAAACAGACATAAATTCTCCCTTGGTTCATTCATTAGCTAAGCTGTTGTACTTGGTATATAATGCTAGCTAAAGTTGTCTTCAAGCTGCCACAAACAGCTTTGGGGCTGAGTGGTTAAAGGATCTTGTTTCACTGTGGACAAACTTAGTGCAAAGTTAGTGCTAATGTATGAACATTAAACAAAACAAAGCCAGGCTGGAAAATAGGATAACGTCCACTAAAAGCTCCTCATCATCATTTACTTTCATAAATACTCAATGTGATGTTCTTGCACAGATGGCTAATGCTAATAATGAAGTGCTTACTGTAGATAGTCAATAAGCTCAAGTTTCAGATTAAAAAAGACTAGTAAGTTTTTTTTTTTTTAATCTTCTCATCTTTCAACTCTCAAGCAACACAAGCACACACTGGAATCGTTGATTGTCTTTGTCGTATAAAAATAAAAAAAACAGAACTCCTGACTTGTTCCTGCTCCTTGATTATTGCCTGAGTCATCACCACAGAGTGTCCAAAATGTTTTTTTCTGTTCCTTCAGAACCCAAGGATCCCATTGCAATAGAAAGGCTTAACTTGATGAACATGGCCAAACTGAGCATCAAGGGTCTGATTGAGTCGGCGCTAAACCTGGGGCGCACACTCGACTCTGACTACGCTCCACTCCAGCAGTTCTTTGTGGTGATGGAGCACTGTCTGAAGCACGGCTTGAAGAGTACGTATGTAACGTAGTATCTGTTCAGAACTGACTGTCACTTGCTGCTAATTCAGAATGTTTCAAAATCAGACCATTTACTCATTTACCTTGTTTTTATTTTAATACCTGTTGAAAACAGGGCTGAGAAAATTAGTTTTAAATGTATATTGTGAAATCAATCATGTTTTAATGCCTTTTAAAGCATGTTGATTTATGTTGAATAATCATAAATAATTGCCGTTGATCCAGAGCTGCCCTGTGATTAATCAAATTTAAAAAAAATGTAATTGTTTGATGAGCCTAGTATTCTTCATTATTAGCGCATTATTACATATAGATCCAGGCTATGGAACATGGTGACTGTTAGTTAGGCTATGTTGCTGTCTACATTTGTCTCTCGACCATCAGCTAAGAAGACCTTCTTGGGGCAGAACAAGTCATTCTGGGGGGCATTAGAACTAGTGGAGAAGCTGACACCAGAGGCTGGAGAAATCACTGCCAGTGTGAAGGACCTGCCCGGCCTGAAGTGAGTGTGTGGAAGTTTTAGGCTTACATTTGGATCTAGCAAGATGTTATTGATTTTTATCACTGTAGAATTCTGATCCCCTCCTTGAACCGCAACCTTAATGTGGTGGAGGGGTTCGAGTATCCGAATGAACCTAGGAGCTATGTTGCCGGGGGCTTAATGTCCCTGGTAGGGTCTCCCAAGGCAAACAGGTCCTAGGCAACGGATCAGACAAATAGCGGTTCAAACCCCCCCCCCCCCTTGATGA